GGGCGAGGCTCCCGGCGGGGCCCCCGGCGGGGCCGCGGCTTCCCCGGCCTCCCGCGCCCCGCGGCGCACGGGCCTCCGGATCCCCGGCGCTCCGGCGGGGGCCGGGGCGAGCAGAGCCCCGCCGAGGGCTGGGATCCCCGGGAACTTTCCCGCCACCGGCTCTCCACTCCCGGCTGAGACTCGGCGTGTTCGCCCGGGTGGTGGGTGGTGGTGAGACATCGCTCCCAGGGCTGGTCCAGTTTTCAAAGTGATCGGTTAGTCTTTGATGGACTGTTTGGACAGTCTGAAATACTTAGGAAATAAGGGCTTTCGCGTCTGGATGCACTTTTCCCCGGAGAGGTAGGGTGAGGTTTAGCGGTAGCCTTCTAAAACAAGATTGTCTTTGTTTATTGGCGAGTTTGCTTCTTCATGTCTTGGACTAAGCATGCTCCAACTTCTTAAGGATTTTAGAAATAATATTTCTAAAAGTGATAAAATCTAGTTTATTGCATAATAGGACTTTGTTTCAGGGAGTTTTACCCATCCATGCAGGAGGTAAGTAATCATTTGGGAAAATGTGATAGAAAGTTCATACAGCAGGGACGGTCTTTCTCCACGTGCCGTGTCCCGTATGTGAAGGACGCCCCACATGCTCACCTTGCTGGCCTCTCTACCCTCGGTTCCCGTGTTCTGTGCTCTCCAGTTAGAGTGGTCATCTGATGTCAGCTGGAACTCAAAAGTACTGATAAAGTGTTCTGTGCTGTGTTGCACCGAATTCCATAGCCCACGTTTTATTGACAGACTTGATTGTATCATCTAGTTCACTTTGAACAATAAGAATCAAACTCGAGGCCTCAGATCCTGAAGTGTTTAAAGTAAGTTCTTAGGCGTAAACTTCATATGTAGTTTTGTGGAGGAAAGATACCTGCTGCGCAAATAGTCAAGATAGTTGAGGAAGTGTCTTGTCTTTACATCGAAGTTATGAAATAACAGAAAGAGCCACTAATACTGTAAAAAACTGGAACATTGATTTTTGTCTTGAAATATAATTTTGTCGCCTTGCTGTTGTATATACCAGAATTTAAGATTAAAACACTAGTTTAAGCATTTTCTTGTAATTCTCAGTCGACATTCTTGGAGAACAATTTCCTCAGAAGTCATATACTTAAAGCTCTGACTCTGGGCGCAGCTGTCCCCTCAGTTGCTTGGACTCCAGGCAAGTTGGTAAGAATCTGATGTTGTAAAGGTGGTTCCTAGAGTGCCTAGAATTGTGCTGCTGAGTGTGACCACTTCGAGACTGTACAGGTCTATTTGACGCGAGACACATGTTTTATGCAGATTCTTTTGAGCCCTTTCTCGGTTCACGTCTGCATGCATATGGATTTATGTGGGTTTTGCAATGATGTCGCACAAGCATGTACCTGTCATCTGTTTCTCTGACTCCTGTCACAGGGAAACCATTCAGGGACACAGGGATACATGTTCACAAAGAACAGCAGACCTAAACGAGTTAGAAACTAAAAATAGTTCTTGTTGGGGCTTTTATCTTTGCACATTTTAGTTTAAGAACACTGCTTTCTGACAAACCTGTGAACTCTTAAAAGCTTGGGCTGGCCTGCCATCCACCAGTAATCTTAAACACACATTTATCTGTCAAAGCAGTCTCACCACTGGGTGATTGAATCAGGCACTTCTCAGCTTCAAAAAATTACCATTAGTACGTGAATCTCCAGGTAAAACTTTGTTTTAGTTTTTCAGCACGTAAGAAATGATCTCTGGTGATTCTTTCCTAAGTTTAGAGTATAGAAAGTAGCAAACCTAGGGGAGGTTCTTTGTTCCCCTTTAAACACCGTAATGTTGATGGGGTTTGGTGTTTGAGAATGGTCCACTGAGGTTAACTAGTAATCATGCAGTGCTGCGGTCACTGTTAGGGATGACAAGATCTTCCTTCTTTGGAACATTCAGCGCTTTCCGCAGACTTTCAGCATCTGCATGAACACTAGTGATGGAACCAATAACCCATTCAAGTGGTTTTATTTTTGCTGGGTGTTTGGGAAATATGTTCGCATTTGCTTTTGCTAGAAATGTTCCAAGTGGTGTTCATCATAACCTCCCCTCTCCCTGCTTTTGACAACCAAGATTAGCGTAAGTTCTTAGAGTTCTCTTAAAATACATTAGAAGTTCCTCAGTTTGCACATCATGTCTCTTAGCTTTTTTTAAAATCACATTTGAAATGCTCAAGTAGGAAACGCCTTTTGAAGCTTGGGAACTAGTTTACAGCCTTTTGAAACAGAGAGCATCTTGGTCAGTTAGTTTGAATTCCTTGGGAAGTTTCGGCTTAAGGTCAGATGTGTCTTTAATTTGAACTGGATAATGCACAAAATCAGTGCTCTTGCAACCACAAAACATGAAGAACATTCCACATAATTTGCATTGTGGGCAGCCCAGCATGTTTTAGCTGGCTTGAGGCAGCAGGCCACACTTGTAAAAAAATGGTTTCTCAAGTTGGAAAGAAGCTGCTTCTGTCTTTGAGCATGGCACACAGGGCAAAGTGCCTTTTGCCTCTACACCAATAGATATGGACAAAACTGGCAAGTGTGCATTTTCGTTTGTATGGCAGGAGGTTTAGAAATCTACAGAATGATACTCCAGTACACTGGAGAGCTCATTCATGGTCATTGCAAATGTCAGGAGCATTTAGGTGGGATTTTAATATAGTTTGCAGGTTTGGGCAGAAATAGGTGTATTTGCAATTACGGTCATCTGTTGAAAATTTTTGTTTTCGGCATTTCCTTTGACAGATAATGTAAAACAGATTATACCCTTCTAGGCCCCATTGAGATTTAGAAGGTACCTCGCCAGATCCTGTATCAATCACGTGACCTCTATGATTCTTAGGTTAATTTCCAGTTGTAACCCTTATCATTTTTGTCATGTGTCTGACTTGCTGTTTGGGGATTTTCGACCAAAGCTTCTTGGTTAGCTTTTTTCATCTGACCAGGTGAGCTCAGTCTGTATCATGAAAGCCCTGGGAGGAATCCGCTTTGAAGGGCTTGGTGCAGAACAGACAGACAGACAGACAGACAGATATCAATCTGCGTTGTAGTGGCTACTCTCAAAGGGAGACACCCCCATCTTGCCCTACATTCTTAAAGAAAAAGAAAGCCTAGGAGATTTTAGAGAAAGAACATTAATAGGCATTTTAAATTGCCTGAAATTTGGATGAGAATTATGATTTTGACTGGAAATTACCTAAGAAACAATTGAGTTGTTTGTTGGATACCTTGTTCTGTGTCCAGGCTAAGGTGTCTCCTGCATGTTCTTTGCTCTCTGGTGGTCCTGGAAGGATGTAGGTATAAAGGCTACTGGTGCCTTCCAGAGGGAAATGTTTGCCTGGATGTCTACAATACAATTCATTCTTTCCATTGTTTTATCTTGTTGCCTTCTCATCCAGGTATCAAGGAAAACATTCTGCTTGCTCCGTTAAACAATCTAAGAGTCCAGTGTCTAACACTTGCAAGAGTCCATTCCTGAGTTTTTCAGCTCATTACCTCTTAATACTTGCTCACCATCATTGCGTTGTCGTCCAGTTGTTCATGGTGTATTACGAGCGTTCGATCTCAGATTTTCTCGTTTTATGTAATTTGAGTAATGTTGCCCCCACTTAAAGCTGAAATACTGTCGATAGTGTCTTCCTTCTATTTCTTTATTTTATGTGTATTTACATCCTCACGCTATAATAGTTTTTCTCATCATAGAAATGACACGTGTTTATAGAAAATCTATCCAGATTAGCAAAAAGAGAATGATATCCAGAGATAATTATGTTAGCATTTTATTGTATGTTTCATATATATGTGGAAAATATTTTAGTTTCTACCTTTATGCATTGCTTTGTAGCCACTTTCCACGTCATGAAGTGATGTACAGAGCTGTGTGTGTCGAAGGCTGGTTTCTGTGGATGCACAGTGATTTAGTGCACACGTGTCATGATAGCAGACAGGTGCTGCTGTCTCTCTGTCACCATCCCAGCTTCACCCATCACCTCCTCCCCTCCCTTCCTCCTCCTCTGCTACTGTAGGGCAAGGAATATCTTTTTATAGCTCAATTTTTGTACTCTTCTGAGGCTATTTATGTTGAGTAATATCCAACTGCAGAGGGTTTTGGAGGGCTACAAATAAGGACCCTGACCTGAAGGTACTTTATTATTCCCAGTGTAAAATCTGGTGACCCGCCCACGTGCCTTTCCTTTTTTTCTATAGGTTTTCCTTTTCTTCAGATAGTAGACCCAAGTTAGAATTTCAAGACTGTTCTTATTAACATTTTATCTAAACATTATAACCCCAGATGTTCAGAGATTTAGCCTCAATCCCAGACCATCCATTAGTGTTCAGTTACAGCTGTAAATGCTATTTCCATTTAAGGAAATACAGCAGTTTACAGTGCTGTGGTGAGAATGTTTTTTCTCTTTCAATTTCAGTC